ACGTGTGTGATTCGACAATAAAATATCCGTAGAAAGTCCACTATCATATTCGTTAAATATTTGAGCTTAACAACTTTATTTAAGAGGTATTAGCAGTATTTTTTTTCACTAAAACCAACTAGCGTCTTTAATGTGTATTTCGTCTTTCCACGGAGTCAGGGTGTGATGGACTAACTAAGGGAGAAGCAAGAACAATTGTATTATTATTATTATTATTATTATTATTATTATTATTATTTTTATTATTTTCTTTGATTTCTGGCGTTTACACATTTCTTTCCGGGTCCCGCCAAGGGACCTAAGGTTAGAAATAGCATCATGACACTTTCCACTGAAAAAAAAAATACATAGATAAAGCCCTTCGTAAAGTGTGGGGTGTACTTGTCAGAACAATTTTTTGTATCACTTTGAGGCATGGACTTCCAGGAATCCCTTCAGTTTGTCTACTGGAATCTTTTCTAACCAATCCCAGTGCTCCAACTACAACAGGGATTGTTCATGTTCCCATGTGCCACATTTTTGAGATTTCTGAGATTTCGATTTCTTCTTCTTCTTCTTCTTCTTCTTCTTCTTATTATTATTATTATTATTATTATTATTATTATTATTTTTATTTCTTTGATTTGTTTCATGTTTGTACACATTTCGTTCTGGGTCCCGCCCAATGACCTAAGAAATGGCATCATGACATTTTCCACTGAGCAATTAAAAAACACACAGATATATTTTACATAGATAAATCCATTTGTAAGTTGTGAGCTGTACTCGAGAGAACAATTTTTTGTATTTCTTTAAAGCATGGGATTCCAGGAATCCCTTCAATGAATCTATTATTATTATTATTACTTACTTGTCTTCCTGTTGTATACACATTACCTTCCGGGCCCCAATCAGAGACCTAAGTTCAGAAATGTTATCATAACATTTTAAGCTTTGTTTTGTAAAAAAAAAAAATGGAAAAAAATTCCAAGATCACACATATTTTCATAGATAAAGCACTTCATAATGTGTGAGTTTTATTTGTGAGTACAATTAGTTGTATTTCCTTAGGGCATTCCGTTCAATGAGTCTATTGGACCAATTTCAATTCAATCCGAGTGCTCCAACTACAACTGGAATTATTGATGTGCTCATGTGCCACATTTTTTTAGATTTCCCCTTTAAGATCCTTGTATTTTGATAGTTTTTTGAAGATCTGCAAAGATACATTACAATCAGCTGGGATTGTCCTGTCAATAAGAAAGGACATTGCGCTTTTGTGGTCTTTGATCGCGATGTCTGAGCGATCAGCTTTGCTTGTTCTGTCTCTATTTATTTAAGTCCGATAAAATCGTGACAGGCCCTATCTCTGTAACAGGGTCTACCCGTAAAAGTGGCATATTTTCCAGTGTAGACATTGGCCCTCTCTATCATGCCGAGTTTTATATTCAATTGATGCTACCATTGTGCAACCTGATACGAAATGATCAATTGTTGCTGGATATTTATCACATAATCTGCATTTGGGGTCAACACAATATTCCAGTATATGAGCTTAGTAATTTCTAGTTAGGAAACATTCGTCCTGTGCAGCTTGAAGAAAACGTTCAGATTCAGATTTTAACCCTGCACTGCATAGCCATCAGCTTGTTTGGTACCGATAGAATATTAATATTTAAGTATGTGGTCCATTTGATTTTGATTTTTTTATTTCAGATTTTTGCCACTGCAGAAGGTGTATTATGTTTTACTTGCTTTTTCAACCACTTGAAGTTTTATGTTGATTTTGTTTGCTTCCTTTATTTGTGAATAAAGTTTCTTATTTATTTAATGATTTTTGACACAGATCATCATCCAGTATTCTGTAGTTTCTAGATATCTTTGAACGCCGATTATTGCTATTTTTGTCAGTTCTAACCTTCTGCCGCATTCGCATCTGGACACCACATACTCACGATCAACATCAGATGCAGATGCATGCGGTGGCAAGTGAGAAATTTTCACTTAATGTCGGTATGGTCCAATTAAGGAAGTTGAAAGTCTATTGTACCAAATGTACAGCCAAGGTGTTTATTTCTGATAGTCTGTTTTGCGAATTCAATTCGGTATTCAACACCAGACTCCAATCTATATTATTCTTTTCTTATTTTCTCCTTCATTTCGCTATGCCGTATTCCATCTTCTTCGTTAAATTCCTAGGTATCTATATTCTTCTACTTGTTCGAGTTCCCTAATCTTTGTGACAAAATCTAGATAAATTGAATGTGTTTCTGTGATTCTCCCTATCTTGAATATTACTTTTGCACATTTATCTAATCACAAATCCATACCAATGTCGTCACTGAAACATTTTACGGTATTGAGGTAGCCTTCAAATCATTGTCGTCTTTTGCAAAGAATTTGAGATCATCTATGTAAGTAGGTAATTAAATACTTTTCTTATACATATCCATAGCTATCATCGTTTAATTCATGAGAAAGCAGGATTCAGGAAAGGCAAAACAGACTTGAGTCTCCTTGAAAGATTACCCTCGGATATTCAGGCGGTTGGAAGTGACATTGGCTTTAGTGTGATTTAGGTATAATGTGGTTTTTCACAGTAACATGGTGTGTTTAAAGAATTTCACTATCACTGAGAAGATTTTGTACATTTTCAAAGTCTTAAAGATCTAAGAGTGTAGCACACTATCAAAGGCTTTACGCCAATCTACCCATGCTGTGCTGAGATTTCTGCTTTCTTTTCTGCAATTTTCCAGGATCATATTGTTTATCAATAGTTAATCAACGCAAGAATATGAACCACTCCGACATCACTTCTATTTCAAATGAAAAAAAAATTTTATCGAGAAAATGGTAAGTACAGTTCACCAGGACAGATGTGACCAATTTATATGGGGTGGGCAGACATGTTATTGGTCTATAATTTTTCGTAATATGTTTTTGGTAAGAGATATATAATATCTTCCGTGATACATTCTGGGACTTCGTTGGGATTATTAATTAGCATTGATAAAGTTTACGCAAGAGTTTTATGGATTTATGACAGATTATCATTTCTTGGGGATTTCCAGTGATTCTTGATAATATTTTCCCATTCTTGCAGAGTTTAATCCTTCATTCTTTCTTCTCGTTTGATTCATTGGTGTTATATTCCTTTGGTACGAAGATTTTTGCATTAGATGGTGGTTTTCTAATTTGTATTTTGCACTACTTTAATAGATAGTGGCTCTTCGAGTTCTATTATTATTTATTAATTAATACTAAATAGTTACTAAATAGATAGATAGTAATACTAAAATATTGTTTTAGCCCAAAATACATATTCTGTGATAAATACCTAGAATCAATTGATCATTTTGTAGCATGTTATACGGTATTGGTACCCACTGAATATGAAACGCGGCGTGACAGATTTGGCCAATAGGTGCAGTGGAAAATCTGCAACTTCTACCGGAAGGAAACTGAAAGAAAGTGGTATGAACTCCACCCACATCCGGTTACGAAGATAGGAACTGATATAATTTTATGGGACTGCAAAATACACATAGACAGAAATAATCAAAACCAACCGGCCAGATATTGTTATTAAAGACCACAAAAAAATGTGCCTCCTTATTGATATGGCAGTCCCTGCTGACTGCAATGTATCTTTGAAGATCTTCAAAAAGCTATCAAAATACAAGGATCTTGAAATCGAAATCTCAAAAATGTAGCACATGGGAACATCAACAAAACCTGTTGTACTGGAGCCCTCGGATTGCTTGGAAAAGATTCCAGTAGACTCATTGAAGGGATTTCTGGAAACCCATGCCTTAAAAATATACAAAAATTGTTCTCACGAGTACAGTCCACGTCTCATTAAGGACTTTATCTACGTAATATATATTGTCAGTGGAAAATGTCATGATGCCATTTCTAACCTAGGGTCTCGGGTAGGGATTCGGAACGAAATGTGTACACACCAGAAATCAAAGGAAATAATAATAATAATAATAATAATAATAATAATCATGAAGCCTTTTCTAACATTCGGTCTCTGGATGGGACCCGGAAAGAAATGTGTAGACAACAGAAATGCAAAATAAATAAAATAATAATAATAATAATAATAATAATAATAATAATAATAAAAATGTGGAAATTGAAAACAAGAATAATACCAGTGGTAATAGGTGCACTTGGAATTATAAAAATGGAACAAAACAACACATTGAAAGAATCCTGGAAACCCCAGCTTAAGAGACATACAGAAAATTGTCTTATTAAGTACAGCACACACACTAAGGAGAACTTTGTCTATGTAACGCTAGCAACTTCATCGAAAAAAAAAAAAAAAAAAAAAAAAAAATTAACATGAAATGTGGCCATAACAACACACCACGACCTGCCTTAGGTCTTTCCGCAGACTTGGTAGGTAGTGTGTCCATAGCAGAAATCGAATGATGATGATGATGACAATGATAATAATAATAATAAGACCTTGAAATAGAAATCTCAAAAATGTGGCACATGGGAACATCAACAATCCCCGTAGTAGTTGGAGCCCTAGGATTGGTTGGAAAAGATTCCAGTAGACTAATTGAAGGGATTCCTGGAAGTCCATGCCTCAAAGAGATACAAAAAATTGTTCTGACAAATACAGCCCACACTTTACGAAGGGCATTATATATGTAATTTTTTTTTCTTTTGTCAGTGGAAAGTGTCATGATGCCATTTCTAACCTTAGGTCCCTGGGCGGGACCCGGAAAGAAATGTGTAAACGCCAGAAATGAAAGAAAATAAATAATAATAATAATAATAATAATAATAATAATAATAATAATAATAATAAACAAGTGGTCTTATAAATATTTTGCACATCTTGTGATTGACTTTATGGAATTTGATTGAACTGACTCAACATTTGTAAAATATGCATATCGCAAGAAGAATGTAAAAAGGGTGTTCATTGATGTCAACATGAACATGATCCATTTGATTCCAAAGCTCATTGTTCTATGACTGCATTTTATTCCAACTGAATGGAAAGAGTTCAATCCTTCCTCGTAGGTATATTTCTGTTTTTCTTTCATATCTATGACAACCATGGTGGGAACTTAATATACATCAGTAAAGGATATTTATTAACATCTGCGTTATAATTGAAGCCATTCATAATTTCTTTGCTTATTCAATAACTCGATGGGACGAGCTACTGATTAGAATCGTTCGTGAATCATAAACACGGTAGAGAGCGAAAGAGGAGGCAATATAACTTGTCCATGAAAGATTGAATTGTATAGATAATGAGAATGCCAACAAAAGTGAAACAAAATATGCTACTCTTAATATTCTGCAACACATGTTTGCATTTGATAATCCTTTAGGTCTGCAGTTGGAGTCAAGTATTGTTTTTTTTTTTTACATTTTATCAATCGAGTGCAGAAACGCCAATGTAAATTGACAACAGCTGAAGTTATAGTCTCTGAAAGAGAAATTGATAGTTTCGCATGAAAATTACTGTCAGTAAGCACTGAAAGTGTGGCAAAGATCAAACTGAAACATCGGGATTAACCACTGAACGATTTTTGCTTTGTCCACCAATGAAATCTGAAAATGCCGATTGTGCGTGACAGAGGCATAAGAGGATATTTATTGCATCATAAAAAATATAACTGATCGCTTGACTGCACAGAAAATCAGAACATTTTGTTCTGGTTTGGATTTCTTCAGGGTGGATCAAATATTGTTTTTGGATATTTCGGAGACGAATTAAAGACGAGAAACAAAAGTTCTCGCTTATAAAGGTGACTAACAGTAGAGCCCGGCGTTGCCCGGGGATATAACAGTAAGAGATAGATCAAATATCGACCATCATAAAGACTGAAAAATAAAATTGACAAAGATTATTGTTTAAGGTTGACGGACACGCATGTCTTAATTAGTTTTTGGGGTTTTTTTTTACGAATTGGTCAAAGCCAAACTCAAACAAAACATTGTTTTCAATCGTTATGAGTCTACCGATTGAGTAAAATTTTATTATAAACAAGTGTCTTGTAAATAGAATTTTTAAAGCATTTTGAATGCAAAAATAAAGAAAAAAGTGTGCAAGACAATAAGAAAAAGTTTTGTTAAAATCGGTTGAAAAATGTAGGAAATCCGATCCCATATATAAACGAACACACACTCACACACACACACAACCTGGGTTTTATAATAAGTATAACTCGATATGAGTTGTCCCCCTTTCATTCTCGCGATGCCTCTTAATTGTGTTATCAAATTGATTTCGTACAAAAACAATTGTGTTTTCCTATTTTTGGCGCTGTCAGAACCACCGCAAGGTAATTTTATGCAGTCCTGTGAAGTGTAGTTGTAATTGGTTGAAGAATGTAGGAAATCCGATCGAATATATAAACGAAGAGACACACACACACAATCTGGGTTTTATATAAGTATGATGTTGAGGTATCAGGATTACAGAGTACTTAAAGAAAATATTCATAAAGAAAGTGCAGACTAAATTTCCTAAAATAAAGTTTGCAACTGATTCTTCTTCTCTGCACCGTGTCCTTTTAAGATGTTGGCGATCATGGCTTTCCACAATTTCCTATCTTTTCTTGCTCTTAATATATGTGGTCATTTTGTTATCTCTCCTAAACCTCGTTCCGTCTCATGATCATTTTTCTTCTATGTACCGGGTCGCTTCAGAACGTTGGCGATCATGGCTCTCCACAGTTTCCTGTCCTTTGTAGCACTGTTGTTATCTCACTTAAACCATGTTCCGACAGCCATTTACTGAATCTCATTCTTCTCCTTCTATGTACCGTGCCCCTTCAGGATGTTGGCGATCATGGCTCTCCACAATTTCCTGTCCTTTGTAACTTTTAATAAGATTTTTGTAACTCTTGATAAGTTTTTTGTTGTTATCGCTCCTAAACCTTGTTCTGCTATCCATTTACTCAAGCTCATTCTTCGTCTTCTATGTACCGGGTCTCTTCAGGAATTTGTTGATCATGGCTCTCCACAATTTCCTGTCCTTTGTAACTCTTATTAAATTTTGTTATTTTGTTATTTCTCCTAAACACTGTCCCGCCATCCCTTTACTGAATTTCATTATTATTCTTCTATGTACCCTGTCCCTTCAGGACGTCGGTGATCATGGCTCTCCACAATTTCCTGCCATTTGTAACCTTTAATAAATTTAATTTTTTTTTTTATCTCTCCTAAACTTTGCGCCACCAATCATTTACTCAATTTCATTCTTCTTCTATGAGACGTGTCTCTTCAGGACGTTTGCGATCATGGCTCTCCACAATTTCCTGTCCTTTTTAGAGCTCAAAAATGTTGTCTTTTTGTTATATCGCCTAAATCTTGTTCCACCTCAATATCATTTTTCTTCTATGCACCGCTTCAAGAGGTTGGCGATCACGTCTCCCCACAATCTCCTGTCCTTTGTAGGTTTTTTTTGTTATCTCCCCGAAACCGTGTTCCGCCATCAGTTATCTGGGTCTCATTCTTCTCCTTCTATGTACCGTGTCCCTTCAGGAATATGGCGATCATGGCTCTCCACAATTTCCTGTCCTTTGTAAATTTTAATAAAGTTTTTTGTAACTCTTAATAAGTTTTTTTTTTTTTGTTATCGCTCCCAAACCTCGTTCTGCTATCCATTTACTCACTTCAGCAATTTGTTGATCATGGCTCTCCACAATTTCCTCTCCTTTTTAACTCTTATTAATTTTTTTTTTTTTTTGTTATCTCGCCATCCATTTACTGAATTGCATTCTTCTTCTTCTATGTGTGATGTCTCTCCAGGACGTTGGTGATCATGGCTCTCCACAATTTCCTGTCAATTGCGACCCTTAATAAATTTAAGCTATTTTTGTTATATCTCCTAAACGTTGCGCTGCCATTCATTTACTCAAGCTCATTCTTCTTCAAGGTGCAGTGTCCCTTCAGGACTTTGGCGATCATGGCTCTCCACATTTTCCTGTCCTTTGTAGCTTTTAATAAATGTTGTCTTTTTGTTATCTCTCCTAAACCTTATTCCGCCATCCTTTTACTCAAGATCTTTTTTCTTACAAGATGAACTGATATTGCATAACAGTTCAGTAATCTTTTCTTTGTTGATTGATTCATCGCTTAGTTTTTGCTTCGGATTTCAGTGTCGCAATTTCCGTCCACTATTACAAAACACTTCCGAGATATTTAAATTGTAGTATTTGTTTAATTTTGGTATCTCCAGTTTGTCACTTGCATTTTGGGTTTTTCCTTTTGCAAATATCCATAAATAAACTTAATACATTACACCGCAAACAAAGCAATAAAGAGATTAAGACACAAGGGGTTGCTGTGTATTAAAGGATATGAGAAAATACTACTATTAATAAGAGACGACAATAAAAGCACAAGAAATAAGAAGACATGATTTGAAGATCAGAGTTGACTGAGAAGAAAGGAGCAAGAAGAGAGTGCCACAGGCGAGAAGTGTGATAGAAGAAACTGTTAGCATAGAACTTACGGTTAGATCTATCTATTTCAACTGTAAAATGACGAGCCCTTCACCCCAATCTAGTACTACGCTTAAATTAATGAAGTCTACTCCGTCACTCGCTCGCAGTCCGCGGACGTCGGACCTCTGTAAAGCAATTAGCCTGAAAGTATTTATAAAAAAAGTCACATGGAAGTTACATATACAGCGGTAGGAAAGTGACTGAATCTGAGATGCCAGGTCAATACGAATAACATTACAAATTCTTCTTTGGATTTTATCAAGAATCTCTAAATATGGATAATTATACCTTCAGACTCATTACCAACTTATTGAAAATAACGTTTTCTTCTTCTGCGTATAGTATGTGGGTGATCATGGCCATTTCCCCAATTTCCTGAACTTTGTAGTTCTCAATAAATTTGGTCTTTTCGCTATCTCTTCGAATCCCTGTACTGCTGACCATTTACACAAGCTCCCGAGGTAAGCTATGCGCCACTTTCATCTGTCACTTTTATCTTTCATATGTTCTGTCAGTGTAAAATTGTATATTTTTCCTATATTTCGACAAAGAATATGTGAGATCAGTCACATGAGTAGTACCCTCACGGACTCAGTGGAAATGACGAGTAACAACGAAGCAGTACTAAAAATTAGTATAACGAAAGAAAAAGACAAGACAGAGGATGGACAGAGAAACGAAATCAATCTAACGCCGAATATTGAATGAAGTTTTCAGTTCGAAAATCCCTTGAAGATTATACTTATCGACAGCTTCAAATATACAAAACAACCATTCGCCCTTGCATGGAGTATTTCTGCCATATATGGGCTGGAGCACCTTCTGCTTACCTCGGAGTTCTTGACAAGATTCAAAAATGGATATGTAATCTAATTGGCCCTGATCTGGCGTCTAGTCTGCAGTCAATCTCTCACAGAAAGGACGTCGCCTCTCTCTGTGTTTTCTACAAATACTTCCATGGTAATTGCTCCGATGAGCTGCTTTCACTGGTTCCCAGACTCCATGAATTCAAGCGCCCTACGAGGCTGGCATTGCGCTCCCACCCTTACACTATATAAATTTTTAAATGTAGCCGTCTCTTCTACTCCAATAGCTTCATACCTGTCGTCACATTTAAATAGCAAAAGATACCTTTCAAAGCTAAGCAATATATTAAGAAACAGGAAAATTTCGTTTGGAATTAATTCTCAGCTGCTATATTAAATGCTTCGATATGGCAGTGAAGTTTGAACAATTTATTCACAGATGAAGTCGATACTTATGGCAACGGAGATATAGTTCTACATAAAGATATTGAGAATATTATGGACGGACACTGTGAGCAACGAGGAGGTTTTAAGTAAAATGAAAAACAAGAAAGGGTCTGTCTATATTTCTGAGATGAGGTATTATGTACATTATTTACATTATTCGGACTATTGTTCTCATCTTTGTCGCCATATTTATTACAACGTTTCGGCTTTTCAGTATCTGTCTATATTTCTGAGATGAGGTATTATGTACACTATTTACATTATTCGGGCTACTGTCCTCATCTTTGTCGCCATATTTATTGCAATGTTTCGGGCTTTCAGTATCTGTCTATATTTCTGAGATGAGGTATTATGTACATTATTTACATTATTCGGACAATTGTTCTCATCTTTGTCGCCATATTTATTACAACGTTTCGGCCTTTCAGTATCTGTCTATATTTCTGAGATGAGGTATTATGTACATTATTTACATTATTCGGACTATTGTTCTCATCTTTGTCGCCATATTTATCACAAGGACACATGGCACAGTGGATAAAGGCGTTGGTTAGATCCAGTGACAGGATCCAAAGAGTGTGAGTTTAATACCCGGTTAAGGCAGTGGAGAACTTTCAGAGTGAAATTAACAGGAGATAACTGATAACTGACATCTATTAAACATGGCACGTGGAACTAGAACAGTCTACCCCGGTGAGCGAAATAAAGGGTTCAGTTTGACATTCCAAATACCTGAAGAAGGCCGGAGCGTACAACGGCCGAAACGTTGTGATAAATATGGCGACAAAGATGAGAACAATAGTCCAAATAATGTAAGAAAGGGTCTTGTGCTTAGACTCGGAACAAGACAGCTGAATTTTTTTTTTTTTTTTTGTGCGGGTGAGGAAAGAGGGCTTCGGTATGTTGAAAGTAAGAGGTGTGGAGAGAAACAACGAATAACCTGCGCAAGCAGTATGGGTTGCAAAACAGAGTCAAGGAGAAATAGTAACGAGAAAAAACGTTAGACTCTAGGTAGTGCGTTTTCCATGCTGCAGTGCCACAGCACTGAAATGAAAAAGTTTTGGTAAAAATGAAATAATAATCGAACACATTAATAATTCGAAAGACAAAAAACTCCATATACTTTCTACAACACTTCCGCGCTGCGCTTAAAATGTCTATTTTACTTGTAATATCCTTCGTGTGTACATAGTGATCGATTTATGTTTTAGAGGTTGGGGGGCAACTAACACGACTTCGTGTGGAAGCCGAGGTTCAAGTGTCTTCCTGAATGGGCCCACCCTTATGCATAGAAAATCTATTTTATTAATCACTGCCTTTGCTGTGATTTTCTGATTGTTTTTCTATGTGAATGGAAGATTGAAAATATTCATAATCGAAAATATTTGTAAGAGGGTTTTAACTGCCGGCCTTACAATCTCTGCATCGGTCAGAACGAAAATATTCCGGTATTTACTCGGTGCCAAAACGGGTCAAACTATAAATGATATAAATTGTGACACTATTTTGGGAGTTTCAACCATTCTCTGTGAGAGGAGACAATTTTAGTTGGAAAAATCTTCAATAATAACCAAATATCTTGATTTATTTTGTTACAGAAAAAAAAAGAAAGAAAGCAAAAACAATATCATGTCGCTATATATTCTTCTTCTACGTCATCTCTTTTTTTGGATATTATTCTTTCCATTTTTTTTTCTTTTTTAGAAGCTTTTTTCTATCGAAAATGCCGAAATAAGGAATTATAATTTAGACTATTCACAACGGCTCGGATTGAGAAATCGGAGAGCCGAGTTCGAATTCCAATTGCATTCACTTACGTGCTAATACACTTGGGAAAAGGTATGAATCCTCTTCTTCTCCCCCGGCTTTAGGTAAATAGCAAGACAGATCGGGTTCTATAACCTTGGATGGAAACTGGCCTACCGCAGAATGAAATGGCAACCTACTGCGGGAAAAAAATCCGCCTCGTCAGTCATGTATCGAAAGATACATAATAACCTAAGCGAGTATCACGCATGGCACATAACTGACATGCGAGCAATTGTCTTCATCTTTGTTGTTTTTTTTTCACAAAATTTCGGCTGTTGAGCCCTTCGGCCTTCATTAGGAGCATTTTTGGAACAATAGTGAATGAAAGCTTTGAATTTAGTGAAATAATAATTTTGAGTTCAGTCCCTGGTTCGGGCAGTGTATACTTGGAATCAGTGGAAACAGCGAGAAATACCTGAACAGTACTAAAAATAAAGAACTAGACAAGATTTCCCTAGACACGGTCAGTGGAATAAGAACTATATAACCCCGTTGGTTAAATAAAGGATTCAGATTGGATTTCCCTATAGGTTTGTTAAATCTACATACATCTGATGTTGGCCAGAGGACGCAATGACTGAAAAGTTGTGATAACAACAACAAAGATGTGGACAATATAATTAATGTAAATATTGTTTATTATTTATTTATTTATTTTGGTTTGATGGGTTTATTCCGTTCCTTTGGTTTTCTTCAGCACTTTATTTTTTTCCCAAACCCTATAAACCTTCCGTTCCTGTCAATTTTCTTACGTTTTTTACTTCTTTTTTCTATTTTTTCCTTTTTGTTTGCTCCCCTCTATTTTCTGAACAAATGACATTTATTTTCCCATCACATATTTCATTTGATTACACTTGATTGCTCCCCTTTTCTAGATTTTCAATATTTATTTAATTTTCGCCTTCCACTTCTTCGTTTCTTCTTTAATTTTAATCTTTATAACCACTTCTTCTTTGTCATTTTTCTCACAATTCGTCCTTATAATCCATTGCCTCTTTTTTCTCTTTTCTTTTACATTTCCTTCTCCATCTTCTTGTTCTTCTTCTACTTTACTGCCATTTATTCGTCCAAATATTCCGTAAAATTTCCCTTTCTTCCTCTTCACTTTCCATTATTTTATCTTTTCTCTTCCTCCGGTTTTTTCTTTCTTCTTTTTCTTTTCTTGTTGTTGTTGTTGTTGTCGTCGTCGTCGTCGTCGTTGTTGTTGTTGTTGTTGTTGTTGTTGTTGTTCTTCTTCTTCTTCTTCTTCTTCTTCTTCTTCTTCTTCTTCTATATCGCGATCTCCTTATTTCTTATTTCACCTCGTTTCCCCACTCCCTGTATCATCATCATCATCATCATCATCATCATCATCATCATCATCATCATCATCACTTTTTAATTTTTCGCCACCTCCTCCTCCCCTCCTCCTCCTCCTTCTTCTTCTTCTTCTTCTTCTTCTTCTTCTTCTTCTTCTTCTTCTTCTTCTTCTTCTATATCGCGATCTCCTTATTTCTTATTTCACCTCGTTTCCCCACTTCCTGCATCATCATCATCATCATCATCATCATGACTTTTTTATTTTTCGCCACCTCCTCCTCCCCTCCTCCTCCCTATTCTTCTTCTTCTTCTTCTTCTTCTTTACCTGCTATCCTACACTACTTCCTATTATCTTTACTCCTCCTCTTTCATTTCTTCTTCTACTAACTCTTTATCACCTTCTGCCCTTCCTAATAATTCTTCTTTACTCTTCCTCCCATTCTTCTTCTTCGTTTTTTATCTTCTTCTTCTTCTTTTCTACTACTACTACTACTACTACTACTACTAATAATAATAATAATAATAATAATAATAATAATACTCTTTGTTTATCATTGTTCTATTTTTGATTTTTTTTTGTTTTTTCCTCTTCTTCTAGCTTCCATCGTTTTATTTCCGTAATTTAGAAGATTTGCTGTTAGGCTTAACCCCCGGCTTATTGTCTGTGAATGCTTCCATCTACCAAAAACAGCGCCGGGCTGGCGACCACTTCACCCAACAAATGGCACTATTTTTGTCAGCAGGGTCAAGCTCCCTTATTACGTTTTGCAGTTGCCACTACTGCCTAATCTCACAAAAATCTCGTGTGTAAATCCGCGCTAGGAATCAGTCCAGTAAATCTCATAAGTGCCAGGCTTTTATAAGGTTTTTAAATCTGTTGCCATCGACCCAGAGTTCCAAATTTAGTAAAGGTGAGATCGATTCATTTTCCATCAACTCGTACATTGCGTTTGGTTCCCTGGGTCACTGATAAAATAAGAACTACAATCATTTCGAAAAGACTTCGCTATTCTTGCACCAATATGATCTTTAGTCATTCTATCAGGACCAAAAAGGAAATAATCTCATGTCATTGGCTTCTCGCCAAGAAACAGCTGAGTTTTAATTTCGGTTAACTTTCGATTGATTTAACTGACAACACTAGTAGCTCCGTTTTACCAGATTTAATATTTTATTGAAAGAAGAAAATAGGTATGTGTTTATAACATTTAACTGAAGAAAATGCATTAGGGGTGCGTGAATTTTACAATTCCCGACAATAAAGCTAAAAAAGGACCATACATAATATTAACGACCATCGAAAATTCAATAGTCACACAAGGAAGTAATAACGGAGAAAAAAACAAAAAAAAAACAAAAAAAACAGACCTACAGATTTAAAATCCAACAAAAAGAAACGTTTCTAAAGATTACGGTGAAGCAATAAACAGACTCTTTGGTGTTGATCTCAGCGTCCATCTTTATATTTTGTAATTTCATATGTGCAATCTTTAATATATTACCACATTTAAAGATTCTCGGCCTGTGAAAGATTTTCGTTTATATGGCGCTGTACAACTTTGCTTTATCCTCGATGCACTTCGTATCGGAGTCTAAAGAATATCCGATCTAACGACGGTTTCTAGTCCTTATTTCTCTTTAATAAGATTTCTCGTATATCCGAAAGTAAATAAATCTACTGTTTAATAAATTAACGGAGCTTGAATATGGATATCCACTATAAATTAGGTTTAATCAAGTACATTGAGGAATCAGTGCGGCTCTGGATCAAGAGGGTGACTGCTGGAAGACACGATGTCAGGCAACACGACTCTGCACCATACCATATCAGCAGGATAACCCAGTCATACGTGTCAAACAATTATATCGACCACACCTTCCCTTAAATTTGGCCACCTAACTTCCCGGACTTGCAACCCTTTGGTTATTGTGTGTGTCGCAGTTGAGCGAAACGTTAGCAAACTCCTTGTAACACCAAATATCAAATAAAGGCAAGGATTATAGCAGCATTCAACAACTTAAAGATGTGGACGTGTATTTGCGCATATATATATATATATATATATATATATATATATATATATATATATATATATATATATATATATATATATATATATAGAGAGAGAGAGAGAGAGAGAGAGAGAGTAGGCACCTTGGAGTATTGGATATCGGCTTGGATTAAGGAATCGGAGAGCCGAGTTCGAATTTCAGTCGAATCCATTATATTCACTTGTGCTAATACCCTTGGAAAAGGTATGAATCCTCTTTTTTCCCTCCAACTATGGGTAAATAGCAGGACAGACTTAGTTCTATAGCCTTTGATGGCATCTGGTCTAGGAGAAGGATAACTCTGAATTCAAAACCTGCGGAGGGTCGTTTGGGGACCTTGTGGCACGTAGTGCACCAGGTCTCTGTATTCAACCCTTCAAAAAGTGTGGATGGTCCTGCACGAAACCTTCACCACTATAATCGAATCTTATGTGTCGTTGTCGGACTGTCGATTTCCTGGAAACTGATCTGCTTGACCCTCATACGTCGGATTCGACGGAAGAGTCGAGCGATATATATATATATATATATATATACATACATACATATATATATATTGCATTTTTTTAAAGAATTATCAGAGAATGAGATTCAGAAAGAAAAAATAATGTTACCCGAACACAATTTTTCTAAAATCGTATAGAGGTATCCTTTAATCTCGACTGGTTCAGTTTTAATTTCCTCATGCCCACATTTATTTTATCCTTCTCATTCTGTTAGAGGTTTAGCTTCTTGATTCTGTCTGATGAGAGAATACAGCGGCAACCCTTATTTTTGTGGGATGGACGGGTCCTACAAACATCTGTTATTTTCTGTTTTACATTTCTGTAAATCTTAATCGGATACAATGCCCCCCCCCCATTTCATATCATTTTCAGATACACACACATGTGTGTATAACGCTGGGATAAAGTGCTCAATATCAGAGATAGAGCGTATGTAAATATAAATATAAAAGTGAACATTGAAGTCAACACTCTCAGACGACAGGCTGTTTCAGGCTAGATGCAATATATATATATATATATATATATATATATATATATTACAAACATTTTCATTTAGGGAATATGTAGATAAGAAATTTTAAAATTGTGAGGTTTATTTTGTAGGCTCCCTTTGTGTGTGCGTATTGTTGTATTTATTGGAGTATGTCTTTTGGTATATGTGTTATTTTAATGAATGAATGGGTCGTGAATCGGATTAACTAGGTATAGCACAGTTAATGATGAACAGACTTATCCCACTCCCTACTTTTTCGGCCATGTAGCGTACATGATAAAATCGAATTCTTGCTTTTGGGGATGTAATTTTTCAAGAAATAAAACAATGTTTTTTACATTATTTTGGAACAAATATTGAACTACTTATGACAAAGTAATATAGAGTTACATAGAAGTTATATAGCGTATATATATATATATATATATATATATATATATAATTGGGTTTGTGCGTGTCTTTCAGAAGCTGTTATGACATATAATATTGATTTCTACCAAACATGCTGAAATAATACACATCATCTCCAGCTCCATGTAACTCAACATGGCTGTCCATTTTAAAAGTAATGCCTTGAGGATGAAAGATAGCCAATTTATTACATTACGATTGAGTAATATGCCCCCTACATGATTGTGCACCTGATACCGGGTAGCTGTGATGATAAAGGTTAAACTCTTTTTACGATTGACGCCATCTTTACGTCAGCAGTCTGTTTGCATATTGGAATGACGTCAACCATTCTTAAAAGACGAACATTTCCAGTGATCGGATGCCTATAATCTGCTAAGATCGACGAAAATATTAGGTAACAAAGATTGCTAAATACCTAAGGCTTTATCGACAGTGAAGAATAGTTTAATTTTTTTTGTTTTTTTTTTTATTTAAATTCGTTTTTGTTTTTTAAGAAACATTTTTTTATACATTTTTTATATGCTATTTTACTTGTTCATACCTGATGTTCACATTTTTATTTTTTTCCATCAGTTTTATCATTATCCTTTTCGCTCAGTTGCTTTATTTTTCTCATAAACATTATTTTTCTTTCCTTCAACTTAGGTTTTTTTTTTTTCATTTGTTCCTTCCTACGACTTTTGTACTTGTTGTTTTTTTCGTTTCGCCTTTCGTTCTTTCTTTCTTCATTTATTTTTCTCATTTAATCCATGGTGATATTTCTTTTCTAATTTTTGCTTTTGCATTTTTTTAAGAATGTTGTATTAACTTCTTTCTTTCTTTCTTTCATTCTTTCTTTATTGTTTTGGCTATTGACAGATACTTTTCGATTATTTTTTACATCACTTCGTTGTTTATGTCTTACGCCTTCCCTTATTTTGATCCCTTTTTTCCTCCCTTTCCTTCTTTATTTCTTTCCTTTTTTTTCTTTCTTATCTTCGTTGTATCTTAGGATTATGCTTTCTTCTCGTTTTTCTTTCTTTCTTTCTTTATTCCATTGTGACATTTCATCTCTAATTTTTGCCTTAGTATTTTCTTTAAGAAATTTGTGTTCTTTCATTCTTTATTGCTTTGCATATTGCCATATTTTTGGTTTGTTTCTCCTTTCGGTTCTATTTTGACTTCACTTCGTTTTTTTTACATACTTCGGCTTCCCTTTCCTTCTTTGTTAGTTCCGTTGCGTTTTAGAATTATGCTTTTATTTTCGTCCTCTCTTTCTTTCTTTCTTTCTTTCTTTTTTTCATTCGTTCGTTCTTTCTTTCTTTCTTTCTTTCTTTTATTTCTTTCTTTATTTATTTCTTATTTATTTATTTATTCCTTTATTTATTTATTCCTTGAGGGCATTTCTTTCATTTCTATTTTTCGCCTGGCTTTTTCGTTAGAATTTTGCGTTAGCTTCTTTTTTTTTTTTTCTTTCTTTCTTTCTTTCTGTTGTGTCGTGGCACAATAGTAAAAATAAGAAAATCAAGTCGAAGTTGGTTTAAAGAACAAGTGTATTTAACATCACAGATACAAAAGTAGGAAACGGGTACTACTCAGCTAGGCAGTTGTAGTACTGTCGCTGCTTACACCGGGTAGGTATTACTGGCACTATATATAGTGAGAACCGGTGTAATTCCCTTGTGTTAGAGGCCGGTGCAACACTTTCTTTCTTTCTTTCTTCCTTTCTTTCTTTCTTATTTATTTGTTTATTTATGTATTTATTCTTTGAGGACATTTCTTTCATTTCTATTTTTTTGCCTGGCTCTTTCGTTAGAATTTTGCGTTAGCTTCTTTCTTTTTTTCTTTCTTTCTTTCTTTCTTTCTTTCTTTCTTTCTTTCTTTCTTATCTACTTATGTATTTATTCCTTGAGGACATTTCTTTCATTTCTATTAGAATTTTGTGTTAGCTTCTTTTTTTTTCTTTCTTTCTTTCTTTCTTTCTTATCTACTTATGTATTTATTCCTTGAGGAAATTTCTTTCATTTCTATTAGAATTTTGCGTTAGCTTCTTTCTTTCTTTTTTTTCTTTCTTTCTTTCTTTTTTTCTTTCTTTCTTTCTTTTTATTTATGTATTTATTCTTTGAGGACATTTCTTTCATTTCTATTTTTTGCCTGGCTCTTTCGTTAGAATTTTGCGTTAGCTTCTTTCTTTCTTTCTTTCTTTCTTTCTTTCTTTCTTTCTTTCTTATTTATTTATTTATGTATTTATTCCTTGAGGACATTTCTTTCATTTCTATTAGAATTTTGCGTCAGCTTCTTTCTTTTTTTTCTTTCTTTCTTTCTTTCTTGCTTTCTTTCTTTCTTTCTTTTTTTTCTTTCTTTCTTTCTTTTTATTTATGTATTTATTCCTTGAGGACATTTCTTTCATTTCTATTTTTTGCCTGTCTCTTTCGTTGAATTTTGCGTTAACTTCTTTCTTTCTTTCTTTCTTTCTTTCTTTTTTTGCAATATTGACATATTTTAATTTTTCTTTCGTTTCGATTATTTTTCAAGCTTCGTTCGTTCTTTACGCATTACATTTTCTCTTCTTTTTCTCCTTTCCTTCTTCTTCAGTTCTCTTGCATCTCAGGATTAACCTTTCATTTCCTCTTTTCTTTCGTTTCTTTCTTTCTTTGTTATTATCGCCTTTATGTCATTATTCTTTTTGTTTATTTAATTCCTATTTATGTTTCTCTTTTTCTTTCGTATTTCAATTCATATTATTGATTTCTCCTTACGTTTTTGTTCCTTCTGATTCGTGTCTTCGATTTCCTTTTAACTTTTCTGTATTGTTTTATCTAATTTTTTCTCACCTTTTCCTTTCTTTCTCAAATGTTTCATATTTATTCATTTTGTTTTTCATTATTGTTAGTTTGTCTTTTTTGTGTGTGTTTATGTTTGTATTCTTTTTATTCCCCTTGTTTTGTTACTCCCCTCTTTGAGAGAGATATTTCTGTTTACTGAGATTATAAAAGGACACTATACGCGAACCTTGTATTTTCAGTTGGATAAAGCTTTCTTAAAGCCTACACACGCGCATTTTTGTCATTACAATTCTGTTTCATTTGTTTTGTTTTTCTTGCCTTTCTTTTCATTTTGTCTATGACAACCGCTTCTTTCTTTTTTAATTTTTCTTTCTTTTTTTTTTCCTTTAATGTTCTTTGGATTTTTGGATTTCGTTTCGTTTTTTTTTTCTTCATTCCATATAATTGTAATTTTTTTTCTTCATGTTGGATTCTCGCTCTTTTCTTTCGTTGTCTCTCCCCTTATTTCTTTTTTCGTTTCCTTCATTGTTACAACATTTCTTTTCTATAAGCTCTGCCTTTTTTCTATCATTGTTTGTCATACTGACATCCTTCCATCTCCATTTTTTTCATCTTTTATGTGACTTTACTTATTCCTTAAGATCCGCCTAAGAAAGAACGACAAAGTCGAAGAACAATAAAATATGTAATTTTAAAGTAAATATCCTACGTACCTTGAAACTAAATAATTCTCGACTTGGCATTGAATGCAGGAACCTTTATTAAATCCAGACTATTTGTATTAATGATGCTAAAATACAGCAATATTCTATTGATAAACATTTTCGTAAAAGTAACCCATTTAGTAAAATATTTAACACAAAAATATTAAAACTAAGTTATAGCTGCACCAATAATCTTGAGAAGATCATAAAGTTACACAACAATAAAACTCTAAACCGGGTTAATAATCTGAATCATAATACAAGTTTCAAGTAGAATATTATTAAGGATACTGCCAATGTAATTGTAAGAATCTTGACCACTGCCCATTGCCAAACAAATGTTTAACTGAATATCTTGTTTATCTTTATTCTATGAAAAATTTCAAATTTCCAAGTTCTTTCATAATAAAAATGCTCTCTTAAACCAAAGATCCGAGTTAACGGTAAACACAGTCTATCTTTTACTTTACAATTCAGTTAGTCTTAGAACTTGACAATGCTTATTCTTACATTTAAGTTAAACGGTGTTGCACTATACATGGCTTATCTTTCTGCTGGTAAGATTAATTTGGATTTAATATAATTTGATATTAATCTCCTGGTACTATTAGTAACATCTTGTACGGATGCATTGGTATTTGGTTTTTATTTCGACATTTTGCATTGATTGGTTATTGTTATTTACAATTTATACAAAGAATCTTTAGTCAACAGCTGCGTTTTAATTTACCAAGTAAGTCTATACGTTCAAATTATTTACTGGTTTCTTAAAGAAGCTATTTATTTATCAACTATATTTTTTTATGTAGGAAACTCACAAAGCATATAACTTGTGTAGTATTTTGTTAGATCACAACTTATTTTTACTTAGGAAATGACATTGTCTAATGTAAATATGGATCCATTTACATCCCCTCCTGTTTAACGTCAGTTGCTGCCATTCATTTCAAATCGACGGGTCATAACCCATTTATGAAAAATAATTTCTTCTTCCCTTAGTTTAAATTTGACGTAGGTCATATTCGATTTGTTGATCTGACTAAAGCCCACAAACCTTATAAATAACCTCCCATTTTTTTTCCGTAAAAAGATGCTGTATTTTATTTTAAATCTGAATAAATCGTTCATTAGCCAGTAATTTCCAATCGAAAGATAAAATGCGTTTATATGCATCGAAACACGACAGTAGTTGTGTAACGATTTTTTGTTTTTCGATATAATAAAATAAAATAAATAAAATAAATATATATATATATATATATATATATATATATATATATATATATATATAATGAATCCTAAAATATATATATATATACCCATACGGATTACCAAGATTTTCATAACTTATATATATATATATATATATATATATATATTATGACACGTCACATTAAATAGTTTAGACAAGTTTTGTCTACATATTTTAATAGGATCCACTTGTAATTACGGACAAGTTTCTTAGTATCCTTATTAAAAAAAGAAAGAAAATTACCATGTTGATGCATATTCAATATATACCTAGTACTTTCGACAATGTCGTCATCAGGGTCTTGTCTTCATCTGAAAATTAAATTTTTACGTGTAAAGGGAAAAGTGCTTAGGTTATGATCAGTACTATTTTTTTAAAATTTAGACTCACGTCAAGGTAAGATATTCAAGTATTTGAAATGTTTACATGTTTAAAGAAAACGATTACTTAAATCCTAGATATTTTAAACTACCTGCTGTAAATATTTTAAAACATTTTAAAACCTACTAACGCGTTACAGAAAAGCAACATTGTATATAAATTTAAATGTCCCTTGGGAGATTGTATCTCCGACAAAAAATAACATATATGTTGGTGATACCACTACTACGTTGTTTCGAAGAGTTTTCATTTGAATGGTGCATCCAACATCTCTCAACATTTACAGCAGCATCCCTGTCCACATTCACAATTTATGAAAATTCTCGTTGAAAATATATCAATACTTTTTCATGAAAATTATAAACATAAACTAAAAATTCTTGACGCTATGTTAAAAAATTGAAACCAACACTTAATAAAATTAAGTTTGCACGTGTGTCTACTTGATAAAATTTTAAATTTGTGCAGTACATAACCTTAATGTTTTTCCACTTCACACGTAAATATTTAATTTTCAAATGAACACAATTTTGTTATAGAAAGATGATGAACACAATTTTTTTCTTACAAAAATAAGTCTCTGATGACGACATTGTGCTAATGTCGAAAGTAATCGGACTAAAATGAAAATTTGGGTAGATATTCTGTTTCTTATTTATTTATAAAACAGTATATTTATTTATTTCCCTCTACCGGCCTGAATATTTGAGAAATCTTATTAGAAATATATGCGCCCTCCGGTCGGATTCAAACCTGCGTCACGTAGGTGAAACCGTCATAAGTTCTGATGTGCATTAACCTCTTGTCTACGTATGAATATTGTTCAAGCAAAGCCCGAATATTGCTTTTAAACACACTTGTTGGAATGGGGAGTATTAATTTCATGTTTAATAAAGGAACAGAGCGTATACTTGTATATTAGTATTCATTAAAAATAACGTTTAAACAAATAAATTAAATGTATATATAAATTTATATTCGACCTTGCTACCCGAACGCTCTTCTGTGGCCAAATCGGTAACGGCACGTCAAGCTTAATGACGGTTCCGTATAGGATAAAGTTTCGAATGCTGTCGGAGGACGAATATTTTCTATGAAATTTTCTCGTACATTCAGGCCGGTAAATGTTGTTTAATACGGTTTATTATAAACAGAGCATTTACTTAAATATTTGTATCTATAAAAAGAATGTATAAACATAAAAACGTCTTAAAATAATTGTCGGACTTTGTGCATTTCATAATGTGTGACGTCATTTGTTTACATTTGATACGCCATGAGCAGATATGAATGTACGTGAGAGATTCATGGAAGATTGAAGTTTAAATACAGTAAATTCGACCTTGCTAACCGAACGCTCCTCTGTGGCCAAGTCGGTAAAGGCACATCAAATTAATGACGGTTCCGTATAGGATACAGGTTCGAATGCTGTCAGAGGATGAAAATTTCTCGGACATTCAGGCCGGTAAATGTTGTTTATTATAAATATTTTATCTATAAAAAAATGTGTGTGTATATATGTATGTATGTATGTATGTATGTATGTATGTGTGTATATATATATATATATATATATATATATATATATATATATATATATATATATATATATATATATATAGCAATCAACAAAGAGACTATTTCTGCAGCTCATTCGTGTGACCCAAAGGCGGGATCGAAACCCTACTGCTTTGATATTATTCAGGGATTTTACCCATAAGCCATTGGTGCACTGCTACGACGAAGGTCAGTTTCTAAATATCTTTTTAGACAAAGACGGCAGTGAACGGGGAACTCGATTCGTCTTAACGAAGAGTCTTGCAGCAGTAATAGTCACTGTTTACAAATTCACTTTTCTATTGCATCTTATTTTATTTATTCTTGTGTCTTTCAGTTTTGTATACGGCTTATGTCCATATCACGTTGAAGCCCCGTTTCAATGTACGTTCAATGTACTGCTTGGTGTGTACCGCTCGTGAATATCAGATGCTGTCAGCTTGGCTGTGCACCTGGCTTAATTGATGATGACTCGGAAATGGAAATCGGTTCTCCGATTTCCAATTCCAGGCGGATTTGTTATATTCATTTGCGCGCAAATATCCCATAGAAAGACATGAATCCACCGTCCCAGCTATGGGTTAATCAGTAGGACTTATATCAGTGAAATGATTATTATCTCTAACACATTCTTACAATCTAAAATATGTTCTGGCTTTAAATGTGGATAAAACAAATCATTGAATCTATTAATCAATTCCAGTTTTGTAAATAACACACTTAATGTATAATACATTTTGGAATTAATATCTATGGTATATTTTATTACTTCCTCCCCTCCTGTCAAAGACTATATCAGATATACTAATGCCTCTAGTGGAATCTGGAGACAGTATCATAAACCTTTGAGTTGTCCAGTGGATGAAAACCTTGATTGACGTAATCCAGTGACTTGACACAAATGAGCTGTGAGTTCAATACCTTGCCGCAGCAAAATTGGAAAAAAAAAAACTTGGAGAGTTGAGTTACTGAAGAGAAATAAGTGAAACTGAGCTATCCTCAAAAGACGTAGTATTAGAACAATCTACCCCGGTGGATGAAATAAAGGGTTCTATTCGAAATTCCAACGTATATTACCTGAAGAAGGCCTCAGCGTATCACGACTGAAACGTTGTGAATATCACAATAAAGATGAAGACAACAGTCCAAACAATGTAAATAGTTTTATTTTTGCCTTGAAAAGTTCATTTTCTTACATGATAAATTGGAGAATACTGTTTTTCATTTCACTCGTGCAAGAAGATATTTTCACCAAATTACTTTAAAAAATTTGGTGGCATTGAAGTGAAAATGATTTTCCGACAAAGGAAACTTTTTGAAAAGCCTCAAGCGGCAAATGCAAGTTTCAAAATTGAGTGATCCACCAAATTCAACACAAAACTTGTGAGTTTATGTTGACCTTGAGTGTTTTATAAAGGGTCACACCGAAATCTTTACAAAAATCACCGACTATTTTCAATTTCATTACTTTCTATCAAGAGCAAAATGCAAGTTTCTACTGGTATTCCAAGGAAGTCGAATCGATACGTTCGATAATTACTTAAAGTAACGAGTTATCGGAGTAAGGAGATCACTCTTCTACTAATAAAATCAGTTTTGCTCGCGGGAGACTTTAGACAAACCCTTCCAGTGATTCCAAAGGTGACAAGAGCTGAC